AGACATTCAAACGCGGGATGAAGAACACTGGACAAAGTCCAGTGTACGTGTCTCGATCATGGGTCTCAAATCAGCACCTTGCGATGTCTAGGCGTGCTGATGAGCACATTGGACTATCATATAGACTATCATAGTAAGTTTCAAGAGGTCAGACTGCAACCTTACGCTTTAGACCATTTGAAATAACCATTAGAAAATGCTTCACAGCACCTGGGATTGCCTATTTAGACCCCAGTTAACTTCTTGGTTCTGACAAAAGATCGAGACTATTGCCAGTGAAAGATATGGGTCTAAGAGAATGCTTCTCCTAGTCCTTGCTGCATTCTTGGATTGAGTCCTCACTTCAGTCTTAGCTTCCTCTACTCAATCCTTTTTATATAGTCTTAAAAAGTGCCTTTTCTTGATCACGATTTACAGACGTTCGAGTATTAGAGGGGCGAATAGACAAACAGGCGTATTCAATATTTACTCTTCAATAACCAACGCTCCAGTTCTGATCGTGGCCCCAAAATGTTACTATATTTTAAAGTTTGTCGTAGCCAGGTATATTGACATTGACAGGTAGCTAAAAATTGCTGCAAAACGCAGATTAAGGAAATGTTATGCAGGGAATAAATTGAACACAGACAGCAAAGGAAAACAAATACACAATGAACAAACAAAATTAATTGTTATTCACGGGAATAGTATTTTTTGTGTGTATTTTTCTTCAGGCCGGCTTCTGTTAACTTGAACTATGTTGATACTAGAGACTGTCTGTGCAAAACGTCAGCACGAGGTGAAGACAGCAAGATTTATTTTATATCATACGTTGTAGTCAGACCAAGGAATCCAAATGCGGTATCCCATAATCAATAGATTACTTACGTCAACGACTGGTCCACACTATATATTCAAGGAAAGGAAACTGTAATTCTTAAAAAGATGTCATAACTACAAACACAATACCTCCATGAACATCTGAAAGAGTGAAATTAACTGTGACCTGGAGATAGGTGCCACAAAATCCTGTTTACAATATTTGCTTAGAGTGGGAAGTTAAACATTTAACATGGAATCTGATCCCATAAAAATCGGGGTGGGTTTCAGTTCAAACTAGGATAAGTATACCATTTAATGAAAGAAGAAACGTTACCCACGAGTTTTGAAACGTTTTACAACCTTAGTATGTTTTCGTTTTCTTACCTTTATATAAATGTTTTCCAAGAAACAAATAAAATATGTGTAATCAAATATTTACAGAAGACTGCTACAGAAAAAGTAAAGAATATATATGTGATCAAATATGTAAAGAAGGTTACCTTATGGGGGAAAAAAGAGAGAATAAGTACCTAAGCAAATAATTACAGGATGCTACGTTAGAGAGAAAAAAAAGTTTTTATTTCAAACCCGATTGCTCTGCTTGAAACATTTATTCAAACTTTCGTAAGTTAAACACCGACATACTTATTAATAAAATTTTTCTAGAGCCTTTGGTGTCGGATTTCCAAGTTACGATCTATACAGGGACATATATATTTTAAGTATCAAAGAATTATTTAAGAAATCTTGTTTTACTTAATCTAGGCACTTCTTCCATCCATAATTTGTTTTTGGAAAGGCTTGAAAACATTTAATAAAGTTTGGGTACACTGATAAACCAGTTAACAGATGCAGTAATAGTTAATTTATTACAATTCAATATTTCAGTGCGTTCTAGTTGAAAAAGGATATAACTGTACTTGACCAACAGTCACTTTGTTTGTTACCTTAATATGCACAATAGGATCTGATTCAGCGAATCAGTTACGAAATTAATTTGTACATTCCCCAGTGTTAACCTAAGCCTATAAAGCATTAATCTTAATACGGATTTTGAGATACGTAACACTCGAAACTTTACATAACTTACATGTATGGTTTTAGGTTTGTAGAGGTTTTTTCACATTCTCAGATCCCCAAAGCACTTGGATGTTATAAATAGTTTATGTTTTCATTTTACCTTTGTCCCTAAAAAGACAATACTGTCCAATATCAATTGAATATACACGCTGCTTTCTTTATATTTTCTCCTTTGTCCTCACTAAGTAAATGTATATGGTCCAACATAGTGAATGAAACTTATACATTTATTTGAATGTTGAATTTCCTAAACAAGTATTAGGTCGTCAAGAAACTGATTTCGCGTTTTAGAACACTTTCATTAACCATCCCTCCAAAAACGTACATTTCGTATAATAGTTAAACGAACCGCCTAAACGTCACGTTAGTGTAGCTTATATAATGTGTAAAGTTTAGTTTACTGTAATCCCTTATAGTTATAGTGACGGCACACGTCGAGACACACATTCGGCATGTAATGCTGTTTGAATACAAGAAAAGAAACAATGCCTCTGTAGCCACAAAAAATA